TACAGCAACCCCAGACGATCGTTTCAGCCTTGTTAGGCATCGTCAGTGAGGTATAGCTGATATCTCTCTAGGCACCGTGAGCAAGGGGTCCACGTCTGGATTACCCTTTAGACTAATGGAGAGCAAACAATGGGTCGCAAGAGTATTCTGAGAACGGACAGCAGCTAAAATAGCCTGCCCTTCGGTGGGTCCCCGCTCAGAACTCATGCTGGTTTGGGCCTGTTTGGTAGGCATGTGCAATTTGTTTCGTTCTAAATGTGAATTCGGACGAATTTTGGGCAATTCGGACATTTGGATATTTCCGAATATGCGAATAGCCGAATTGCCGATGTTCCGAAGTTGCTGAATCTCCGAAGTTGCAGAAGTTCCAAAGTTGCTGAAGTTCCGAAGTGTTGAAGTGCTGAAGTTCCGAAGCACTAATATACCCAGTGGAAGAATGAAGAATGTTACACTGTATACGAGTTTAAATAAAAAGTATACAAACATAGCCAGGATTCAGCTGTAAGCTTTTGCAACACTTACAACAATCAAGTAACACATTCATATAAAATGTAAGTTACTTAGCCAGTCAATAGAATGACAGGAATGAATAAGTAGATAACTCCCTAATTCCCACAGTATTAGGGAGCTATCTACCAAAAGGCTGAAAGGCCTAAATTGGTCTTTCAGTCAAATTTACTAATACTAAGTAAAAATTACTTAGTATTAGTACATTCTGCCCCTACTCCCTATACCGCGAGTAGGGGCATGTCTATTAAAGAGTGAGCCTGTGGCTGCTCACTATAAAAAAAAAAAGTGTCCCCCTATTGACCTATTGCCCCTCCTCCCCAGCCCTCACCCCTGAGCGGCGGGAGGGGGCCCTAAAGTAAAATAAGGGGGGGACCTATTGTCTTTCCCTCTGGCCCCCACCCCTGAGCGGCAGGTGGGAGCCCTAAAATAAAATAATGAAGGTTATTGGTATTTAGGGTCCACACCCACCGCTCAGAGGTGGGGGCCAGGGGGAAGAACAATAGGTCCCCCCTTATTCTAATTTAGGGCCCCCACCCAACGCTCAGGGGTGGGGGCCAGGGGGGAGGACGGGAGGACAACTTTTACTTTAAGGCCCCCATCTGCTGCTCAAGGGTGGGAGCTGGGGGGAGGACAATAGGTCCCCCCCATTTTTCTGATTTAGGGCCCCCAGAAATTTTGTTACAACATTTTCTCCCCAGAAATCTCCTCAGGAGAATATTTTATAATTCAAAGTCTCAATTGTTTTTTTTTTTTTTTTCCTAGAGAAATTCTAGAATTCTATCTAGGTTGAATGCATCTAGGCAACTGATGCAGATTTACACATGCCGACAAAATATCAACCGTATTTGGCTTTAGTTAATATAAGAATTGCCATTGCAGTCAAAATTTGGTAATTTTCACCTGAACTTTTCTGTCCAAGCAAAATCCAAATTTTAGTGAATAACCCTGGAAGTGTTGTATATTGTGTATGTATATGCGCATGCGAAAGTGCACCAGTAAAAAAAACTCTGGCACCCAGATGTTGCTGAATTACAACTCCCATGATTCTTTGAATTACATAGATAGCCAGAGAATCATGGGAGTTGTAGTTCAGCAACATCTAGGGGGCCGGAGTTTGAGGACCCTGACCTAGACAAAGTACTTTGGCATTCCACCCTCGAACTGAAAACATATACACAGAAACAAACATTGATACATATATAAAAAATAAAGGGAACACTTAAACAACTCAATGTAACTCCTAATCAATCACACTTCTGTGAAATCAAACTGTCCACTTAGCAAGCAACACTAAGTGACAATCAATTTCACATGCTCCTGTGCAAATGGGATAGACAACAGGTAGAAATTTTATAACATGACAGGAGGCTTCGTATTTGCATTAACTTTCTTTACTAGCTCCATAGCAGCAAAGAAAAAAACCATTAAAGAAAGAACCAATCAGAGTAAAACTGAGGATATATAAGTCCCAGCGTAGCCAACCATTTCCTCTTTCTTTGCTGCTCCATCACAAGTCAGGTCAGAGTACTGATTTCTTTAAGATTCCTGTCAGGTTTCTTTTAGATGTTATTGATGTCTGTTTTTCTTTAATTGTACATGGTTGTGTTTTCTATTGTACTTCTACTGTGTATAGATTGTATTTTCTTTGTTCTTTATTGCTTTGGGGCCAGGGGGACCTGAGTGGGTTCACCCACCCTGTCAGGGGAGCTACACTCATTTTGGTGCAGGGTACTGGGCTGAGGCTGTTCTGGTGGCACGGGACTGTCTCTCCCAGCGCCCTCCTCTCCCTGCTTCAAGGGGGTTGGTGTTAGGCTAGCCCACCCCCCCCCATTCCCCCCTTTTTTTTCCTTTTCTTCTACCGGTGGCTACGCTCGCCACCTTCTATCCCGACCGTAGCGCTCTGCTCGCGCTCTCATAGCGCGAACAGGTGGGACGCTCATTCGCACAGGGAGCCTAGCATTCGCGGCCGTCCCATTCGCGCAATTGGCTTAAAAAGAGCGCGAACGGGTGGTCGGGAACTTGCTCCCTCTAAGCCGTTCGCGGGGTTTGCTGCCGCGAACGCATGTGTTGCGCGAACGGACAATTTCCCGAATTGCTAGGGAATTCAGTCCGTTCGCGGGTCCGTTCGCGGATCAGTTCTCTCTTGCGTTCGGCGGTTTAACCAGGCGAACGGCCGTTCGCGGCTAAACTGCCGAACGCTTCAAGGGGCTCCATTTTCGTGGGCTTTCCGCCCGTTAATCTCGCGAGACCCGTGCGGCCATTTTGTGGGTTATTAGTTTTGTGGAGTATAACACCTATCAAGACAAGGCTCTTGCTCTGAAGCTCGTTTTTTCTACTGCTGAGGTGGAATTCATTTGGGACCTTCACAGGTTGGTGTCATTGCCCCTGGGGAGTGGGACTGCCAGAAGGGTTTACCCCAATATCCTGGCTAGGGGTGAGCCCCCATTGAGTGCTGCATAGCAGGAACTGTCAAAGCAGTTCCCTGTGACCCTGGGTGAACCCCAGCGATTAGGAGTCCAGTACCACGCCGCTGAGCGTTTTTTCACCTGAATCCCTCCCGCACGGTCCCTCACCTCTCATAACTATACCTGTGCCTGTTAGTCTCTGTTGGTGCCCACAATGGAGGACACAATTAATACCTTCAAGCAATGATCAACGCAGCGGTAGCTGCGTCTCTGGAGAGGGCGCTAGCAAAAGCGGCTCCTGCCCCCGCTGAATCTAACACGCTGTCTAACAAGCCACACTAGGCTCACGAAGACTCTGATGAGTCAGATGACTCCACTAGAGAAAAGAAGCGCCCGGCGAAACACCACTGGAAGGGCGAAGGTTCCAAGAGAGCCACCTTCAAAGGCAAGGCCCCTATGAAGCGTGATAAACGCACTACTCAGATACCTCCCGTGTACGCTGGGGAGGCCTCCTCAGATGAGGAGCAAGACGTGCCCCACTCTCTCTCCGTTCTGGATGAGTGGCAGGCTGAATCCTCCGACTCTGACGAAGGCGGTTGGGGCTCCAACGCCTACGTCACTGAGACATTTCTGGGTGAGCCCCAGCAGAAAGGAGATGCGGAACCCCCCGCCACGGCCACGCAGGAGCAGGAGATATTCCTGGACTCCACTGACCAGAGAATGTTTGATCCCAGGAAGATTCGCCACCCTCGTTCGGGTGAGTGGGCCCCTCCGGATAATCTCCTCCGCTTCATGCATTTCTGGATCAGGAAACCTTTGGAAAAACACATCCGTAAGAGGATGCGGGCAGAGTGCCCGAGACCTACCCTGCCGGATAAAGTGGCCTATACGCCGGAATTTGATCAGCTTATGCTGACCTTTATGGAACAAGGGGGCCGCGACCCACGGAGGGGGATTGAGAAGAGTTTTAAAGGAGCTCAGGATAAACTCCTAGACACAATGGGCCCTTTGGCCCGAGTTATATACCTGGCGGACGAAGCATACGCCAGAGCAGACTCCTTCACGGCAGACATTGTACGAGAATGGGAACATGATATCCGAGAGTGGGCCCAGAGGGGCTTTTGTTTCCTCGGTAATACAAATGCGGCCCTCTCTACGGAGCAACGCCGGGCAGCACTTTTTCGTATCGACCCCAAATTAGTTGACCTCGGGGTCAAAGAATTGGGCCCACAGGCACAGGGCAAGCTCTTTGGTGAAGCTTTTATGAAGGAACTGAATAAGCACGTCCATGCGTAAGGTCTTCCGAGGTACCTCCGCAAAGGGTGTTTTTTCCAGGGCTTGTCGGCAGCGGGGCTGTGCCGCCAGCCGTTTCTGGCCTTCAGGCCCCCGTATGGGCTTCCAACACCAATTCTTCCCTCAACAAGGTTACCAGGGCAACGGAGCCAAGCAACCATTCCCCTACTACCAAAGGGGTTCTGACAGAGGACGGGGTGGTCGAGGACGAGGCCGTGCACGCTTCCCTGCAGGTAAGAGACCACCTTTGTTCGGTACCTCGTATAACTGTGATTGCAGGCCGTGTTTCCCTTTTTTCCCAGAATTGGGCCCAACTGTCCACGGACGCTTGGGTGCTACAGACCGTCCAAGGATATCGAATAGAACTCCGATCACAACCCATTCAAAGGTTCCCCCCTTATCCTTTGCGTCTTTCGGCTGCGGACAATCGCCTCATAAATGGGGAACTCCGCGAGCTTCACATAAAGGGTGCTATAGAACCGGCGCACACAAAGGGAGGATTCTTCAGCAACATGTTCCTCGTCCGCAAGAAGACCGGGGACTTCCGGCCAGTGATCAATTTGAGAGGACTAAACACGTTCGTGACCTACCGCCACTTCAAAATGGAGGGCATCCATTTATTGCGGGATCTCCTCCAAGAAAAGGATTGGTTTACGCGGCTAGACCTCAAAGACGCTTATCTGACAATTCCAATCCACACGGACAGCCGTCCATTTCTCCGCTTCCTCTGGAACGGCACGCCATGGCAATTCACGTGCCTTCCGTTCGGACTGAGCTCAGCACCGGGGTGCTTCACAAAAATGCTAAAACCGGTGGTATCCCACCTCCGAACACGCGGGATCAGATGCATAATTTATCTGGACGACATTCTCTTGTTCTGCAGAACAAGGGAACTGGCCATCCGGCACACTACGTATACAGTACGACTGTTAGAATCCTTGGGCTTCGTTGTCAACAAGGCCAAATCCACAATGACGCCTACTCAACGAATCCAATTCCTGGGCTTCGAGATCGACTCCAGGTCTTGCACCCTGCATCTCCCCTCAGCCAAAGTGACGGCCATCAAGAAGGAGATCCGCAGGGTTCTCAAATTGGATTCCATTCCGCTCCATCAACTGGCGCGGATTGTGGGACTCTTATCATCTTCAATTCAAGCCATATTTCCGGGACCCCTTCACTACCGAGCGATGCAACGGCTGAAGGCCAGCCTCCTCCGCCAAAACCCCACTTACAACCAACCGGTCCCGCTGTCGAAGAAGTATACCAAGAACTCCAGTGGTGGCTCCACTGCATGCAGGCCTGGAATGGTCGGGCCATCTTCGGCAGTCAACCGGACTTCATCCTGGAGTCGGACGCGAGTCACCTAGGATGGGGTGCCACGGATGGAGAAACGTCCACAGGGGGCACGTGGACACCACAGGAATTATCGATGCATATCAATTGCCTCGAACTCCTAGCGGGCTCCTTTGCTATCGGCACCCTCACAAAAGGGCAGGCCAATTGCTGTATACTGTTAAGAATGGACAATGTATCCGCGGTACGATACATCAACCGCTTGGGGGGCACCCGGTCGAGAACCCTGGCGCATCTGACGAAGGAAATCTTCGACTACTGCCTCCCGCGCAATATCACACTACGGGCAGAACACCTGCCGGGGGAGACGAACCTCATGGCGGATTGGTATTCCCGTCATTGGAGGGATGCCAGCAACTGGCAACTGGATCCGCAAATATTCGCACACCTACAAGACCAGAAGGGACCCTTTCTATTGGACCTCTTTGCCTCACGAAACAACCGACAGGTCCCGCCAGGTTCTACAGCTGGCTACCGGACCCGGATTGCTTAGCGGTAGATGCCTTCACTCAGCACTGGCCACAACAAGGGGCATATGCCTTTCCCCCATTCGCCATGATTGCCAGAGTTCTCAATCACCTTCGCAGACGAAGGGTTCGACTGACCCTGCTGACGCCCCTCTGGCCGAGTCAGCCCTGGTTCCCGGACCTTCTCGAATTGTCTTATCAGGACCCGATCCTCCTACCGAACGACGACATGTTACTCAGGAACCCGGCGGGGAACGCACATCCGATGGTGTCAGACGGCCGTCTGACCTTAGTGGCCTGGACTCTTTCAGGGGAACCTGGCGTACCGACGAATTATCGTCAACGGCTAAGGACCTCCTTTGGGATTCCTGGGCCCCAGGAACACGGAGAAGCTTGGACCAGTTGGTGCGTGGGACGGGACTTGGATCCCTTTACAGCCCCTGTTTCCGATGTCATGAATTTTCTCTCAGCCCTATTCGAGGATGGGAAGTCATACCGCACCATAAATGTCACGAGATCAGATCAGCTATCTCGGCAGCACACGTGCCGTTTCAAGGAAGGGCAGTCGGACAGGATCCGCTAATATGCCGCTTGCTTCGGGGCATCAAACTAAGGAGACCGCCAGCACCTAAATATCAGCATCTCTGGGATGTGGAGATAGTCCTTTGTTTTCTCAGGGACTGGCCTCCCAACGACCAGCTCTCATTGAAACAACTGACAGCGAAGTTCACCTTCCTGTTGTGCATGGTGTCCTTCCGGAGAGTGCCTGACGTTCGGACTTTCGATAAGGACGCTTTCTCCATTGGACCCGAAGGAGTCACGTTTCACAAATCACAGCGTAATAAATCCAATACAACATCAGTATTCTATCCGTTTTTCAATTCGGATCCCCAGCTATGCGTGGTCCGGACCCTCCGAGTCTACGCATCGGCAATGGAAGGCTTGCGCTCACCTTCAGCACGACAACTTTTGGTATCATATGTGACTCCACACGGCCCGGTCTCGGTCATCACATTGGCCAGATGGGTCAGATGGATTCTCGCCCTAGCCGGGGTAGACGCCTCATTTGGTGCACACTCCGTTCGAGGGGCAGCGGCATCATCGGCATTTTTAGCAGGCGCGTCTCTGGCGGATATCCTACACACGGCAGATTGGTCCCGGGAATCTACCTTTCGGACCTTCTATTTTCGCCTGTCGTCCAATGCCGCTTTCGCTCTTCTACCTAAGCGTTAAAACTGCAAATACGAAGCCTCCTGTCATGTTATAAAATTGAAGATTATGCTAGCGCAGTGTACTAATAATCTTAATTTTAATAATGACAGGAGGCGAGTATTTCCCACCCTTTCATTCTCATAGAAGTTCCCGCCCAGATGGAAGTAAGTAGTTGGTGGGAGTAGATTGGTTCTTTATCTGGTCTTACTTACTTGGATTAGCATATTATACTGTTATATTTATTCTAGGGCTATTGAACTAGTTGGTATGGTGAATTTTAAGATGTCTTTATTAACTAGTTGATTCATTACAGACAATTGGTTTTCTTTGGTCATTCCCGTATCATTGATACTACTCTCTCTCTCTTTTCAGTTTGACAAACCACAGGGATGATGGAAAGGCTGAAGATGCCATTGTTATGACCATGTTGGATTTCGTTATGCCAGTTGGAATAAAGTTACTAAGGACTTATTACTACATTTGGATCTTGTGATGTCGCAGTAGTCAAGAGGAAATGGTTGGCTACGCTGGGACTTATATATCCTCTGTTTTACTCTGATTGGTTCTTTCTTTAATGGTTTTTTTCTTTGCTGCTATGGAGCTAGTAAAGAAAGTTAATGCAAATAATCGCCTCCTGTCATTATTAAAATTAAGATTATTAGTACACTGCGCTAGCATAATCTTCAATTATAGGCAATTAGCAAGACACCCCCAATAAAGGAGTGGTTCTGCAGGTGGTGACCACAGACCACTTCTCAGTTCCTATGCTTTCTGGCTGATGTTTTGGTCACTTTTGAATGCTGGCGGTGCTTTCACTCTAGTGGTAGCATGAGACGGAGTCTACAACCCACACAAGTGGCTCAGGTAGTGCAGCTCATCCAGGGTGGCACATCAATGCGAGCTGTGGCAAGAAGGTTTGCTGTGTCTTTCAGCTTAGTGTCCAGAGCATGGAGGCGCTACGAGGAGACAGGCCTGTACATCAGGAGATATGGAGGAGGCTGTAGGAGGGCAACAACCCAGCAGCAGGACCGCTACCTCCGCCTTGTGCAAGGAGGAACAGGAGGACCACTGCCAGAGCTCTGCAAAATGACCTCCAGCATGCCACAAATGTGCATGTGTCTGCTCAAACGGTCAGAGACAGACTCCATGAGGTTGGTATGAGGGCCCGACATCCACAGGTGGGGGTTGTGCTCACAGCCCAACACTGTGCAGAACGTTTGGCATTTGCCAGAGAACACTTCACGAAACACTATATTTTATCTGGATGGCTGTGGTAATTCTCATATTTACTAAAACCAAATATGGTTAGAATTCAGTCTCCCTGAGATAATCTGCAGCAATCACTTGGATGCTTTCAGTGTCCAGATTAAAATCGGTGCATTTGCGTCCAAATTCTATACAAAAAAATAAACAAACTCTGAATGCATTTGGCAGGATGCACATTCGCAAATTACCTTTCACTTGCTTTTTTGCAAATGAATAATAATTTTAAGACCTATTTTCCTGGTGGCAACCCCGTGAGCACCTAATACAGACTAATCTCTCATAGTGGAGAAAGCCCTTATAAAGACTTTCCACACTACATAAACTATTGTATTGCATAGGAACATTTTCCACTTTATGCAATATCGGTAAGGGCACTATAGTTGGTTGGCTTGTAAGACAAAAAATCAGAAGGCGTTGACAAGCAAGTCTTATGGATCTCGAGACTTGCCTGTCAACACTCTGATTTTATTAAAAAGGCCCAATCCTCTGGCCATGGGTGGAGACAGGGGATAGACTGTGATCCGTACTCACCCCATTCATTTTTTTAAAGTCCCCCACCTGATGCCAGTAAGGGGGACTATGTTTCGCCCTGTTATTTTGCAGGTCCCATCCAATGGGATGGCGCCTTTCTAGAAACTGAGCAGCTATGACTGCCCAGTCGTTAGTTTTAAACATTTAGCAGATAGGACCAAACCTGCCGCAGGTTTTAAAACCTTCCTTATTAATTATAACAGGATTTTACTTATGAATTAATTTTTGTAACATTTAATGTAGCGCTGGCTAGTAAAGTCTGTTTAGTGAATAACCCTGACAGATTCATACACACAGACTCATACACTTAGGTACACACATACACACTCTTTTCAAAAAATATATCACTTAATTATTCTTTGTCACACTGAGATCCACGCAACCCCCGTTTTCTTACCTTTAGATGGTATTGGAGTGGAACCTCATCTTTGGGAGCTGCAGGGATCAGGTTCTGTAGTACTGATTGCTGTACTGCTCCTTGCAGCTCAGTACTAATGCCGAGGCTGGAGTAATGTCACATGCTTACATCCCAGTTCACAGCATCAATACTATATGTGCGCAAGGGAGCTGGGACATCAGAGATCTAAACGTACCCATTGCCGGATCCAGATCCAGGAGAGTTGCAAAGTAGGCACCTGCTATGTGGCACCTCCACCACTAATACACCGGTAGGCAGTTGACTGCATACACCCTGCTGACTGTTAACATGGGGCTACTGGCACTTCTACATTTAATTAAGCATTGTTTGAAAGTGGAATGACTATAAAGCTGCTTTATATATGATTGTAACATAATTCCATGTTGGGTTTTAGGATGATTCCATTTGGAACTGTCTATTTATTGGTGGCTTTTCAGACTCTGGTTGCTACAAAATTTTTCCTGCAAAACAAGATCTCAAATGATGATAAACAGAAACCATTAGCTCTAAACAACAGGTATTTGTTTCAATAACTGTTTTAAAATGTAAAATCACTGACAACACATTAAATATAAGCTGTATACCAAATATATATTTTGCATGCATGTCTCTGTCTGCCTGGGATGTTCATTGAACTAGTGGGCATTTTTACAATTACAGTTGCATAGTAATCTAGGTTGAAAAAAACACAAATCCATGGAGTTCAATGTTTAAAAAGACAATGTTTAAAAAGATATCAATTTCCCATAGTTAACAACATTTGAAAAACATTACCAGGGACACTTCGTGGGGACTTATCAAAGTGTTTCAGAGAATTTATGGCTAATTTTCAGTTGATATTTGGTGCAGTGTATTAATTGTCGGTTTTCTTTGATTTCTTACTTATTTTATCAATCCTTCTGACACTTTTTTCAACAGAAAAGTGTTCTGTTTCAATTCTCTTTTTTTCCACCAATCTAAATGTTTGGCCAGATGTCAAAGATGTCACAGTACCTACGTATTGCACCTGTCTTCTACCAAGGCCATAATGAGAAATAAAAAAACAGCCCTTGAATGTTTTCTTTTTTTTTGTTTTTTTATAAAAAAACAAATGAAAGTTTTAAATGATAACATGAAGAGACGCACTCCAAAGACTTCAACTTTAATTCAGATGTGCAAAACTATGCAGTCAATGTTTCAACCCTGTTTCACAGCTACAACATTTGGTAGCGGGACAGTCATCTGAAATGTTGACTATGTAATAATATTATAATTTTATTATAATAATATATTGCTTTTCGTAACTGTGCTTTGTAAATGTAAGTGACAACTGGCACACACTCTCACACATCTACAGTTACACATATACTGTTACACATGCTGTCATGCATATATATATATATGTATATATATATATATATACACACACACACACTGTTACACATACACAGAAACACACTATTACACATATACAGACTTACACAGTCACAAATGCATACATATACGCACACACTCTTACTCTCTTGCAGGACCAGATTTATTTGGTTGCCTGATTCTTGCAGCTGTTGCACATGCTGTACTGTCTCCTGCCAGGGTGTAATATTTGATATTCAGGCTGCCCTTGATCGTATGCAGGGCATTGTGAGGGAGCACCATTCAACAAGTAGTCATGTGTATTACTCCACTGCGAGAGGGATACTAATGGAAAAGGGAACTATACATGTCTTCTCTCCATTTAAGTTCCATGTAAGTATAAAATGATGCAATATCAACAGATGAACAGCCAAAATAGAAACATAGAATGTGACGGCAGATAAGAACCATTCGGCCCATCTAGTCTGCCCAATTTTCTAAATGCTTTCATTAGTCCCTGGCCTTATCTTATAATTAGGATAGCCTTATGCCTATCCCACGCATGCTTAAACTCCTTTACTGTGTTAACCTCTACCACTTCAGCTGGAAAGCCATTCCATACATCCACTGCCCTCTCAGTAAATTAATACTTCCTGATATTATTTTTAAACCTTTGCCCCTCTAATTTAATACTATGACCTATTATTGTGGTAGTTTTTCTTCTTTTAAATATAGTCTCCTCCTTTACTGTGTTGATTCCCTTTATGTTTTTAAATGTTTCTATTATATCCCCCAGTCTCGTCTTTCCTCCAAGCCATACATGTTAAGTTCCTTTAACCTTTCCTTGTAAGTTTCACCATCCAATCCATGAACCAGTTTTGTAGCCCTTCTCTGAACTCTCTCTAAAGTATCAATATCCTTCTGGAGATATGTTCTCCACTACTGCGTACAATACTCCAAGGGAGGTCTCACCAGTGTTCTGTACAAAGGCATGAGCACTTTCCACTTTCTTCTGCTAATACCTCTCCCTGTACAACCAAGCATTCTGCATGCATTTCCTACTGCTCTCTTACATTGTCTGCCTACCTTTAGTGATGTACCGAACGGTTCGCCGGCGAACGGTTCCTGGCGAACATAGCATGTTCGCGTTCGCCACGGCGGGCGAACATATGCGAGGTTCGACCCGCCCCCTATTCGTCATCATTGAGTAAACTTTGACCCTGTACCTCACAGTCAGCAGACACATTCCAGCCAATTAGCAGCACAGCCTTCCCTAGCAGACCCTCCCACCTACTGGACAGCATCCATTTTAGATTCATTCTCAAGCTGCATGCTTAGTAAGAGGAGGGAAAGTGTAGCTGCTGTTCATAAGATAGGGAAAAGCATAGCTAGGTTAGGGATAAGGGTGTGCTTTTTTTTTTATTTTATTTTCTATGTAATGTAAATGCACTTAGTTGTCTGCCACTGCTGCCAGCTTCTGTGTCAGGCTCACAGTGCATACTGTGCCCATTTCCCCAGTCAGTGCCA